GTTTTGACCAATCGCAGCACCTTAAGGTTTTATTACAGTGTGTATTACTATGTTTATGATATGGCCGTATGCCATAGTGAATGGGTCAGTTAGGTGATAAAAGATGTTAGCATATGAATACCGTGTTATGCAGTGTCATAAAGCCATCACATAAATTATATATAACCTGTAATATTACTCCGGAAATGACACCACAATCGAATAGGAACCATCAATGTGACGTCAAGTCATTGTGAAGCGGACGCCATTTTCATCGTTTCAAGTGGCTGACTCCAATCCCTGAAGTTTGTTGTTGTTGCAAAAGTAAGAACGCGGCCATGTTTATGTTTACGTTGTGACATGTAGACGTAGTCTTACGTGTGACGTTACGTGTGCTCAGAGGCAGACGTAGACTTACACGTAACTTAACACGTTACTAAAAGTTACGACCTTTAGTAAAACAGATTGTTGGCGTCTAACGTCTACGTGTGGACTTACTACCTTTAGCGCAACTGGGTCCAGAGGCGGCCAAGTGCAAAATATTCGTTTCAGATCACCATCATACAGTTTATTTTATATGTTAAAAACAATTTGTCATTCGTTTCCCTTCATATTACATTTATGATATTCGTTTTGTATTTTTCATATTTGCTCGCCAGAGGCTCGCAAACATGAAAAACCCAAAACTTGTATCATAAATTTAATGTGAAGGGAAACTTATGACAGATCCTCTATATCCGAAACCATCCAGAGGATAAATCGCGGCCACAGACAACCATGAAGCATCTAAAGACGCATCGTAATACCCTTGTATACTTTAAGGATAAACACATATAGAAAAAGTCTCAGAATACGTGTACGAAGGCGGATGCTAGAATTTCGTCGCATCTTATATCGCAGTAACTGGTGATTCGGGTCCGAGCAGGTACTGCATCGAGACAAGGGGACTCAGACTGTTGCACATCTATAACATGGTATTAAACAAATTGTAGTCAAGCCGATTTGTGGATGTGATCGTCATTTCGTACATGTCAAACAACTAATTTCACATATATACGTATAGCATAGCCATTTACTGCTTGTGATGCGTGTACCTCTACACAATCCATGTTTACCAACATGTAAAAAAGGTCTAGAAACATGCTCTCTATTACACTTTGATGGATGTTATTCGTAAGGTATGTTAAGAATCTGTTACATAATGCTAACGAGATACGTTATGGTATCAGTCTTGAAATGAAAGGCATCATCCTTCTTTTTTCTCAGATATAGTTGCACTGCACGGTTGACGACTCAGAATAACATGCCGCGTCTCTAAATGAACCAGAGAATCGAACATCAATAACTCCAAAACCTCCATGTTGAACCAGTATGTGATCTAGTTTGGTTAGTTAATTAAGTCAACAAACCAGTTTCTGTCAGGTGATTGGAATGTTCAACTGATTTATGAGACCTTGATACAGATTTTGATTTACAATTTTTGTACGACCCTAACAAGGAGCGCTTGTAGAAATATATGACTTGATAATAAATTAGTTGCAGTAGAATTTTTGGAATGTACATGTTTGTCCCGACTCTTTGGTTCATTCAGCTTCCCAGGTAACTGCCTCCATTAAAAACAAACACAATTTCAACTTAACTTTCCCTGTTTATTTGACATTCCATAAACATTATAAAATATCATGATTAAAAGAGGTGGTGACCTTATTGGATATCATTTTCTGTTTTTTTTCTATGGCTGCTTTAAACCTCTCATTGACATAACAAAAGGTTATACATCGGTAGCTGTGATGTCCGCGCGTTAAAAATTAAAATTAAGATATATGGAAATCAGATTTGTTACCGTCTAAGAAACAACGTCATATTCAGAAAAGACGGAATTCAATTTTTATTGATTTGATCAAGCAGACAGTCCTAAACTCAATAGCCACAGAGTCCACAGGGTCGGTATCGCTCACGTGGAAAGCTATTGTTCCAATTCTAGAAACTTATTCTGTAAACATTATACAGAAATCGGTTTGTTTGTGAACGTTTTGTTATATTCATCACATTCCCGAAGAGTTTCTTGATCATTGATATACACTGTTTTATAACCAGTCCCAGTGTGTTGGTCGGAGCAGTATTATGTGTCGTCCAAATATATCTCACTTCTAAAAAATGTCTTCAAATTATTGATAGTATTACTATAACTGGCGTTATTAATGTAATCACTCTTGTTGGCCCGGATGAAAGCGCGCGGGGGTCTTACTGTGGGAGGAAACCGGAGGACCCGGAGAAAAACGTGGTCGGGCAGGCGACCCATACCTTTTCCCGTCCGATCGGGGAATCGAACCCCGGCCGTCTTAATAAAAGGCAAGTGCGCTATCCACTGAGCCTACCAACCACCCTCAATAACTTAAATTATTGACAGTACTGTTATTACTAATATTCTTGACAGTACTTCTATTACTTATATTATTAACAGTACTTCTATTACTTATATTATTAATGCATATAACATTGCTTTTGATCATATCATTATGTCTGAGCGCTGATATATGTTTTGTCCTTGAGTATGAACGCTGATATATGTTTTGTCCTTGAGTATGAACGCTGATATATGTTTTGTCCTTGAGTATGAACGCTGATATATGTTTTGTCCTTGAGTATGAACGCTGATATATGTTTTGTCCTTGAGTATGAACGCTGATATATGTTTTGTCCTTGAGTATGAACGCTGATATATGTTTTGTCCTTGAGTATGAACGCTGATATATGTTTTGTCCTTGAGTATGAACGCTGATATATGTTTTGTCCTTGAGTATGAACGCTGATATATGTTTTGTCCTTGAGTATGAACGCTGATATATGTTTTGTCCTTGAGTATGAACGCTGATATATGTTTTGTCCTTGAGTATGAACGCTGATATATAGTTTGTCTTTGTGTATGATCACATCCCTTAAAAGACAACATGTGTTCAGTGTGATACATGTTCGTGGGTTGCCGAACACGTCAAGAACATATTCATCAGTTTTTATCAAGATATGCGATAGCGTGATAAACGGATGATAAACGTATGTGGTGATGACGGTGGGAAGTGTGATGGTTGGATATTACATGAAATGTGATTGTGGTTGGGATATGCTGTAGTGGGATTTTGGTGTTTGGATATGCGATAATAAAATACAAAAAACAAATGTAATTTGGGTAGTGATTTGACGGAACATGCTCTGGGGCGGGATATGTGGGGGTGTAATATTTTCTGGGTCGGTATGTGTGGTGGTGTAATATTTTCTGGGGCGGGATGTGTGGTGGTGTAATATTTTCTGGGGTGGGATGTGTGGTGGTGTAATATTTTCTGGGGTGGGATGTGTGGTGGTGTAATATTTTCTGGGTTGGGATGTGTGGGGGTGTAATATTTTCTGGGTCGGGATGTGTGGGGGTGGAATATGTTCTGGGTCGGGATGTGTGCGGTGTAATATATTCTGGGTCGGGATGTGTGGGGTGTAATATATTCTGGGTCGGGATGTGTGCGGTGTAATATATTCTGGGTCGGGATGTGTGGGGTGTAATATATTCTGGGTCTTGATGTGTTGGGTGTAATATATTCTGGGTCGGGATGTGTGGGGCGTAATATATTCTGGGTCGGGATGTGTGGGGTGTAATATATTCTGGGTCGGGATGTGTGGGGTGTAATATATTCTGGGTCGGGATGTGTGGGGTGTAATATATTCTGGGTCGGGATGTGTGGGGTGTAATATTTTCTGGGTCGGGATGTGTGGGGGTGTAATATTTTCTGGGTCGGGATGTGTGGGGTGTAATATTTTCTGGGTCGGGATGTGTGGGGTGTAATATTTTCTGGGTCGGGATGTGTGGGGTGTAATATTTTCTGGGTCGGGATGTGTGGGGTGTAATATTTTCTGGGTCGGGATGTGTGGGGTGTAATATTTTCTGGGTCGGGATGTGTGGTGGTTGATTATACGATGGTAGGATATGTAACAGTTGGAACTTTCCTTCCTGTAACGAAGTTTACCATCATATTTTCTCATAATGTTTCATGCAGACAGTAAATAATGTGTAAATCGTTGTTTTGCGCTACCTGGCTCCGTTACACTTCTTATATTTATACGGTGTCAATGATAAGTTCGTTTCTAACAGATATCAATATTAATTCCAGGCAGATTTTCAAAGATTAGGAAAACAGAAAGTGTTTTAAAAACCTGATCTCTGTATTTGTGTGAGTGTCTTTATTTTGTTAAAAATATGAAACACATATCCCTTAGGACCACAGTGTAACACCCGACTTCAGGTCCTCATATAAAAGCATAGGCCCCTTTTATGTATCTGATTCAACTGTTTCAACCGGCTAAACACGAAAAAACCCTGACAGAATCAGATTTAAACCGAGACTGACCTTTGGAATATTCGGCACGTGCGTATTAAGGGGGCCAGATGTGTTTTTACCGAAACTAAAATACTACAAGAGTTAGTTTGCATTATTTCTGCATAAAACAAGGTCGATTCACATGTATATTTGAGGGTTTTTTTTGGTGGACGAGTGACAAAGGAACATATTACTCTTAATATATTGTTATTTATTTGTCACAAAACTCCGAAACTGTGCATTTTCAGCTTTGCGTACATTTTTGCCAGAGTTCCGGTCAATGTGCGTTCGTTCATCGCGGAATATTTCAACAGGGATACGCGAAAGTGACCAGTGAGTTTACCAACGCCTTAAGACGCAGCCTATATATCTATTTCTTAATGGTTTGGGATATGTGTTGCTATAAAAATAGAAGTTGTGGACAGACATTTTATATTTTATGCCAAAAAAGTCATTTGGAATCCTTATAACATTATTATAAGTATTCACACTGACAATTTTCATGTTTTCATCTGTATTTTGATGTTAATTACATAATTTCCTGTCTAATCGGCTGGTCTATATTTGTCCTTTAGCCGGCGCCCTGTCGTCTACCATGCCCCTACTACCTCTAACAGCCACTGACCAGTTGAACCACACATTGTACGTATAAGACTATATTTTACAAGAATTTTGGACAAGCGGACAAATACACAGACAGACGGACGAATGACCAATGGTTATCAATTCTACTTACATCTGGGAATAATTAACAGATATGTTTATTATCATTTTATATCAATTTATTATAATACGTTATAACAAATTATGCCTGCTATGAGAACAACAAGCAGGAAATGCGTCATAGCAATCTGGGCGTAACTCTTCCTTTTCTTTTCTCTCAATAAGGAAATTTATTTTTAAGTAAGTTTTAGCTTAAAATTTTATACACAGTTTTAAGGGTTTCCGCAACAACAAACGTGTGCTCGATAATTACAATGATATCTTGAATGTACATTTTTTCATTAAATTGGATTGCTGAAATACCAGTATGATACCTTAATTGTATTTTTCGCTATACCTTTGTTTTTTCTATTGCTACATCTAAAATGTTCCTTTCCCTATAAGATTTGAATTTTATATTTAAATCTAAAATGTATATTTTCTCTATACCGTTATATTTATTTTATTATATCTTATATATTTTCTTTTTTTAAATTATAATATCTCAAACTGTAATATCTCTATAAAGAAAACGCATTACCCTATCTTTTAAAAATACATGTATAAATTAAACTTTTCAAAAAAAAAGTTCGAATTGATGACATGCTTGCAGCTTATCGTTTGAACCAGTAATAGGTGTTATTAAATGTGTAACTCTGACATTTTATTATGATACTCTATCCTAGCTTTATCACAAATAGGATAAATAATATCAAAACGCATTTGAAATACCGAGTTCAGGTGCAAGTATTCAAACGCGAAAGAACGAAAGACGAATAAGAATTAACAATTGTTTTCTTCATTTGAAGTACGGATATTTATATTTTTGACAATATTCGTGAATATTTAAACTCTTTCGATATTGATTGCAAGGTAACAGGGTCCTGACGAAATGGTTTCATCAACCAGTCCTTTCGTCGTCTGACTTCTTCAAACACCTGGAAAAAAGACAGTTATCTGTTAGTTGACGGTTATGTATATTGAGCACGAGGACAACAGTGTGATTGAGATGATATCTTGCAAACATATTCCTTAAGATGTATTGAGGATAATCTGACAGAAGCACAAACATTAATTAGACATAGAGAATTGTAAGTAAAATACATGGGTCTAACTCATCAGCCGTTTACCTCTATCAGTATTTACAACATGATCGACAGAGATGGCTTACTATTAAGCTGTCGTTAATCGTAACAGTTTCAATTTTCGATTGTGATTGTTCGCTTTCTTGAGAGTAACATTCCATCATCCCCACATAAGCATGTCGTAGTTTATTCGGTTTTCAAAACTTCATTTTTTTATGTCAGATACCGATGTCTGACTGACAAACGTTTAACATATGGTTGAGAGAGATGCAGCTTGATGAAGACTGAAAGTAGTTTTAATGGATGCCGTTATCATCCTTTAAGGAAATATTCTAATTCCTCGTGTGATATGAAGAACTTTGTGTTTGATAATGCTCGTGCTTTGTTATTTCGATGACACCATCCAAATTCTTGATTTAGGACGTGACAATATTTGGATTTACCTAGATTTACCTTGTGGGTAGCAGAAGCTTACCTCTGCAGAACAAGTGGTTGATTTTCCCCCCTTTTCAATGAATCCCCATCAGAAGATTTTTCTAATTTAGAATTCAATTTATGGATTTGTTCACGTTTTCTCTTGTTGCTTTTTGGACACACACATTTTGTTTGAAAGATCAAACGAGAGTAATGACGTCTGATACATAGATAGGCGAACCTAAAAACAACAAGAGAAAAACCAATGTGTCAACAAAATCCTAATTCGAATTCAAAATCTATGAAACCATGGCAAAATGTGAACAAAGAAAAGATTTACATGGAAACCTTTAAGAATATTCAAGGAGAATAAGACCAGGTGTTCCAGAAGGGCAAGAGTCTTCAAATCCATGTATGGCACGTCCCCACATCGAGAACTCGGGTAGTGACAAAAGGGTTCGCAAATTAGCATAATCAAAAATATCCAACTTCATATCACACAAAGAAAAAACATATCTTTCTAAAAGTCCATTGTCTTCATCAACCTGCAACTTTTGAAACCTTTTGTTGTAAGTTTGTCCATCAGCAGTCGGCACCTATCACGACACTCATGATATTCGCAGTAAGCTCTTAGATACCAGATTCAATTGCAAAATGTTAACAATGCAAGGAGGGTATGCAGGGACGGAAAGTTGAAATCGTCCCTTTATCGTACAGTTTCGTATTATGCCGTCCCTGTTTGCCATGTTGCAAGTAATGATCGAGGAAGAAGGTGAAGAAGAAGTGGCTGTAGTATCTAATTAAAAATACAAGAAATGCAATATTTTTCAGTTGCAACTAAAATTTTCTGACTGACACGGTCTGAATTTGATATAAGTTAATGTATTTTTAACTTGTTCTAACCAGATTGACTAAATTGACACTAAGCTTATATATTCTTCAACCCGCGTGATCTGAATTGATATTAAGGTAATATGCAGGTGTCAGAAATCAGTGCGGTAGTATTGCTAAGCATTAATATTACGTTATGAAATGGGCTCAAATGTAAATGTTACCATCTTCCTAAACGAGGAAATCATAATTCAACTCTAAAATGAGGCACCGTGGTATTATATTTACCAAAACTAACCAACACAAAATCATTTAATTATAATATGACTTTCTTTTTCGTCGCATGAAAAGACAAATATTTCTTCAAAAAAACCCAACCACCTCCTACTTTGGTTTTAATACCATATAACACTTAAATACAAAGGAAATATTTTCGTCGAAATTTACCACTTGGGTTTGTTTTAAATACTTTCAAACTATACTTAACAGCAATACCGCAATTTCAAATTACTTTAAAACAGTTCTGTTGTAAAAGAAAAAAAAAAAAAAAGTTTGTCCTTTATATTATGGCATATCTCTTATAATTGTCTCCCGTATTTGGAAATCCTAACAAAAGATAAAACATTGTACACTGTAGCAATTTCGAACCAAAACACTAGACAAGAGGTGTAAGAAACCCGCCATGCTGATCACTTGACCAAAGACCATTTGTGTCCTTGTTAAGACCAGACGTGCTTGCGATGTTCCTGTACGTAATTGAAAGTGACTCAGCACAGTGGACAACTACTGTACATAACGGGTCATTCATAATTTCACGATTAAAATACATGACGTAGGACGATAGGGTCGCATGAACGTTACGTTATATTTGTATCGTAAATCAAGTTACAAAAGGTAATTATACTGATTCCACTAGAGACTGTGATATATAACTGTTCATTAATGCTAATGGGACATGATATACGGTGTGGACACCGAATCGTGATAAATAGATGTATTCTCCTTACTGGTATTGGCTCAAGTTGTAAATCTGACACATGGTTCAGGCCATAATAATAACTAGAATGCACGTTATTTAGTTTAAATTGACATGTCATGGGAATATTAAAAACAGCATGTTCATTTTCAGAACAGACTCTTTCACATTTATATTGAAATCATATATGTGATTTAAAAAAAAATAATAAAAAAATGCAAGAATACCTGTCACCGACGTGAATTGTCCCGACTTCCGCCGAGAAGAATACGCCGAGGGACATAGTCCACCACAATGTCCTGGCGCTGATTCGTCTGAGTGTTGTCGAAGTATGACCGTAACATACGACTTAAAATATTCATCAGATCCTTCCGTACCGGTAAAGACTCGGGCATGGCTGCATCACTCGTCATCTGATTACAAGAACAAATTTATAAAATAATTGTAAAAATCTTAACGTAATATATCAGATTCATATAACACTGAAACTGACTGGAGAAAGGACTGCAATTATTTCAATTGAAGGCATTGCGCCTGCAACATATAAATGATCAATCATATCACGGACTTGTAAAACACAGGGGATGGGGAGAAAATGTCGCAAGCACATTCTTTCTAGATTTAGAGGTAATGGAAGAATGCAAATTTGAGAATAAGACAAGAAGCACATATAACCACCTAACATTACTACTAAATGGTTTTTGACCAAACGTTCTTGACCTTTGTATCGTAAACAAGTGATTTCGTTTTTCTGAATATTTGGTACATGTATTTTGTCCTTCACACACAGCCAAAATGACTTTGCATTAGACAACCATTCATATGATATCTCAATTATAGAAATCTGATGACTGTTCATGATAATTCTAATAACAGGAAAAAGAATGGAAGCAATTGCATGATACATGAACCCATTTTGGAACTATAGTTTTTTATGAGCAAATCTAAAATTAAGTAAGAATATTAGGAAAACAATATACCATAGCATCACCACACAGCAACAAAATTGGTACTAAAAGTCGAAATCAGAACAGCAACGGACACGACACCGAAAGACAACATCTCGACAAGTTTAAACAAAAAGATCTAAACGAGGAAGTCCATGGATGAAATAATCAACTTGTGTGTTTGTAATCAGCTAAGAACTTCTATGGATTCAATGATATAAGCTTACCGTATACAGAGGGAGGGGAGTTCTTCTTCAGTTGACGTTTTGTAACACTAGTTTACGTGTGATCATTATGCATATACATTCATTAATAATTGAATGCACAATCGTATAAAGTATTCCTTTCTTCACTTTGGTTCGAAATGTTGTTTTATTCACTTTAGTATGTATGATTTGAAATCAGCTTTTCATTTTCAGTTATTCCAAAGTTAACGTAGCTGTATCGATGTGAGGTATTATATGAAGAACTGTCCTTTGTGAACTTCCTTAGAAATTCCTTGCGATACATTTCAAGTTGATTGGGACATACACAAGAGGGGTACTTACTTTAGGTGCATCTCGTTTTCGAAACTGTAAACAAATATATATATATACATTAGAATTACAAGTCTCAAGGAGAAAATGAAATTTTGTCTAAATGTCGTAACTTTTCAGGACGATTATATCATATTCCTAGAATATTGTAAGAAAAACAGCAGTACTCTCCTTATGAACATGTACATGGAAATCCCACCCTTTGGGGTAACCATTGGCAGAGCCACATTTACCCTTGCAAAGGAATTTTCCTTTAGTTATACTGAAGAAGCCTATTATCTCATACAGGTTGGTGTGACATAGATATGTCTCATGTTAGGCAGATGTCACATAATGAATATCCAACTTGTGTATGATATAAATGAAAGCAATCAAGCTTACAAGTCGTGTTATTGTCTGCCTCCTTGCCCGATGTTTGTTACCATAACGACGACAACGTCCGTAAAATATAGGTGTGTCCTTCACCCTACGTGATCACTGCACTGTGATACAAAGGACAGCTCAAAGACAAAGATCTACGAACCAGTCACGTTACGTATAATATAAATCTAGCATGGAATATTACGAGTTAGTGTTACATTGCAGATGACGAACTCATGCCTTCCTCTCAATTGACATGCATGCACTTACGTTTTTGCCTAGCAGCAGTCACTAGAATCGGTATGCAGACTTAAACATGTACATCATTATTTGGAATAAAGGTTAATTTTATTACAAGTATGGAGAAGACTGGGAAATTCCACCTTTAGGGTTTTGAATTGAGTGCAACACCAAACGTCACATATATCACTCAAGTCGATAACCACTCGAGTGATAACTCCTTGTCTTTTTCACATTCACCACCTATTCTTAAGAATCTCTTAATACTACGGGACTTCACTTTTTTCTACATGGGACTCCTATACGCCTATACGCCTATACGCCTATACGCCTATAATCCAGGTATGACAGAAATATGTTTCTCCTCACTGGGCGTGGTTGTAATTGTCAGATCACATGAACAGAACTAATTCGAATTGTAAAATAAGCATACTTCACTACTATTCCCTTGATGTCTAATTATAGAATACTTCAATTTTCATTAACATACTAAATTTCTATTATCCATAGTAAATTAGTGACCAAAACAATAAAACTTACCCCTGCTGGACAATTCTGAAAACAGATAAACAATGAAGGTGAATTAAGTGGAAAAGAAAGTACATATTTCGATGGTGGCCTTGTCCCAAGCGACATTCGGAAGCTTTTAGCAGCTATTAACCAATTGTATACATACCGAACGCGTTTTCCCTTGATTCTAGAATTAAACTAATGCCATTCATCGATGATTTTAAAACCGCTAGGGAATAGCTCGAACGACAATTTTAAAGTAAATCCTTTTACAGTAATCGAATTTATGAATCTCTAATATATTTCAGAAAATTCTGTTTCAAGAAACCACATCGCTTTGCCGGTCTACTGGTCCTATCCCATCGCTCAGAATATGAAATTTCAAAGACACAAGTAGTTACACTGTTGATTCCTAAGAATTATATAATGATACCTATTATTTTTTTTCATCGGAACTCTTAAACTGGATGAATATTCCTGTTACTTTATTCAGTAGAATTGTCCAATAATCAATATTTTTATTTTTAAGAACTATAAATCATGCACTAACAAGGTGATTCGAGATTGGACTTGTAATGAATAAACAAATGTAATTTCATGTGGTATTACAGTGTATGATGGTAAAAAAAACTTAATGATATCGCCAACATACAAGAACACAGTTCTATGCACAATGAGATAACAATATAAACTTAAAAATGCCAAAACAAGAGGAGAGATATCATGAACTCGATTATCTGCAGATGCCCCGATAAGTCGTTTTAATCGAACATGAAGTGGTATATAACAGGACCACAACTAAGTAAGGCGTTCGATCCTCACTGTTACAGAAAAGTTGTACAACTGCAGCAGATATAACGTGAAATATTTCAATCAATCTGGTCTAGTGGAGAGGCATCTTAAATAATGCAGTAAATAGGATTCATAAAAATAGCAGAATCGTAATTGCTATAACGAACTTTTGAGTTCCCAGAATTTGTGTAGTCTACCATGTCATCTATTGCATTGCAAGAACACATACACATGACATTAGACAGAAAATAATGACAACAGCATTTTCAGCTTGATCAGTAAATACATATCAACGAGAGTAGACCTCCATCTATACAAATCTGAAGTACACTAGCTCAGTAGATAGTTATAAAAAGGATACCTAAAGCTTTAAAACATGAAATACACCGGCTCAAGGAACATTGATCAACCAGTGGACTTGATATGGTACATGGAATATGCGAGTCTAATCCTACCTCATATAAGATATCGTAAGTCATTTAGTTATTATATAATTTAAAATATTTATATTTAACAATTAATTACGTCATATTTAGTTGCGAAATTACACTAAGGGGCCTCATAAAATAAAGTTTTAAAAGTTATCTTCTTATCATCTAAGGTTAGTTAATGAATTCATTATTGTAAAACATATCAAGGATGTATTGTGTACGAAATAATGTCAGGATAGAAGATCTGAAACGAGATAAGGCAAAAAAGACCACATATCCAAACGGTACAAACATTTAACACTATTTCTAGTCACATATGATATATAATAATAAAAATAATAATGTTTATTTCAGGAAACACAGGATATACACACAAGCAATACACTTGATAGAGATACGAAACAGATGTTGTAGTCTCTGTACTTACTTTTGGGTGTAGCTGTAACAGACAAACATATTATTTTAGTTAATGTTATCCTATCCATCAAATTATACAACTGACAAAATCTTCCCTATCACTTAACAGAGATAATGACAATGTTATGCTTTACCCGAAATGTATTAAAGTCATTGACATAACTATAAAAAAAACCACATACCATAGTGTTTAGGAACAACAATATATATGTAACATATATGTAACACACTTTCACGAAACAATGTTTAAATTCTAGATTTTTGTGTTTGTGTTTTTCATTATCTTTTACACCTTGCAAACACTATGGTACATGGCACCGGGGGAGTATTAAATGCAAACTAGGAAGGACAGCAATGGAGAAATAGAAAACGAACATAACACAGCAGTAACAAATAAGGATAAAATCTTAACTCGGACCCGACAATCTAAGATAATAGGGACCGGAGCCAAACCATTGTAAAACCCTACTAAATACAGGAGGCTAACATATGATCCGTTTTATACATTCAATATCATGCTCCAGTAAAATGATGATCAACAGTATGTCACCAACTATCGGAGATAGATATCAACTCGTCACATATGGTAATGTAGATAAAGAAATACCTGAAACTGTTATATGTATACATGTATATCAATATGAATATCTTTAACGTCAAAATTGTTGACAAGAAGTTGTTGTGATGTAAAAGAGGTCGTGGTAATGTTTATGACCATCCGAATGCTATGGAGTATACTTTACCAATGACAGAGTAATGAATGGTTCGTAATGCTGGTTAAAATCGTAATATTTACGTCCCTTGACACACGCGTAAGATCAGATAGATATATTTCAAAATTATGGTTTTGATTAAGCCTTGAGTAATGATGTGAAACAAACGTTGGCATGCAGCGATAGTCAGACTTACCTGACACATCTGTTTCCAAAAATAACAGCATTAAAAAAAGAACAAGATAATATTTTAGATCATGCATTTAAAGTATCTGGGAAGAAAAGTGAGTAGCATACCATTTTAAAGCTAAACATTCAATTTGATTTTCACAAAAGACGTTTTCTATTTAAAAAATTTAATATCATATACTAAGAAAGACCGATCATTCATAAATATATGAAACATGAATATAAAGGTAAGTCCGGATGACCAAAAGTTTGGATTTACGCTAATCTACTTCAATATACACCGGCCAGGGCCAACTTACCATCTGCACAAATCCGCAAAGGGGAAGGTGAAAAATAAAAAATAGTTGTTAAAACATTTACAATTAAATGCAATTTTTATCAATTAAATACAACTTTTATCAAGTAAATATTTTTATTCAGTATTATTCAATTTGTAATATTCTTAATTGATTCTTAAATACATGTCAATTTTAATTACCTTCTAAATAATATCCTCTGATGACCGAGGAATATACTTAACAGGCACAAATGGTGAAAATTGTTATCATCTTACTTTATCACCCGAGTTCATTCAGACTTCAAGCAGTATGGAATCATAGAGAATATTGACGTTTCTCGCCAAGCTCGTGTCGAAGTGTGTACTGATATCTCCTTACCCTAGAATCAGTAGCGAGTAGAACGCCCTCAACGCACGAGCAGGGCTTGAACTTTCCAATTTTCATTAAAATCTAATTATGTTTTTATCAAAATTAATTCATTGCATCACACTACAGGCCGTCAACAGCTTACGCCTGACGAAACATGTAGGGCACCCCTGGTGTAGGCGTCTCTGGTCGTGACAGGAGGACTTAGCTTTCTCTCTCTCTTAATTATGTCATATTTACCCTACCAGTATATTGAATTTACTACCGTATATAAATATACATAAACTGTAGTATCAATCAGACAAGAAAGTATCGGGATGGCTATTCTCAACCCTATAAAATGTACAAAGGGATAATTAGATATCGACTCCAACTACACACATTTACAAAATGACCATGCCGTCTGCAACTGTACACGTTTACAAAGTTATCATGGTTCAGTAACCACAGACAATGGACCAGGTTTAGATGAATTTAGGGTGTATAGGCACATGGTAATCGAACTCAAGCATGGATGCAGGTAGCAAGACATAAAAAATGTTTATGGTAGGAAGCAAACTGAACCATATTAACATGAATAGGCAGAAATAAAGAAGACGTCGACACCTGTGTTAAACAACTTGTGTACATACACCACACCAAAGAGAGTGAAGGTTCGAACAAGGGGATTTATAACGTCAATTATTTCAACCGAAGGAATAGAATTTGGTGAATTGGTTCAGAACTGAGGCTTTGCCAAGGTTTTTAGTCCAAACTCTACACTCGAGGGTAGACTTTTCCTATGCCATATACTAACAAGATTATTTTTTCTTTTTTCTGCCACCTCTTACCCAGGAATGTCGTACATGTCGACAATAACACTTCCAAGGCAACAATAAATATGATAAACATATTTATATTATTAATACATTAACCAATGACACACTTGGAGAAGAGCAGGAAAATTAACGGGTAGGAAAGGCACACTTTTAAACTAAAACTGTTTCAAAAGCCTTTAGAAGTTGGTGTAATGTTATACGACGACCATGCTTTTCCGCAGACGAAAAATTATAATATTTGTGACCTCCTGTATCACATTGAAATAACGTCACGTTTCAGAACGATATAAAACTTAAAAATTTCGAACTAGTAACTTGATTTCATGCAAGTTTTGTCAGGGTTTAGAAAAAAATGCAGTTCCCGAATGAGACTACATCCATGTGTGACGGAGTAATCCCCAATGAGTATCCCGCATAGTGCACGTGTACCTTACATAGGCAGAGGTGGTAGAAAATGTCTGTCCAAAATTATAATCTAATAGACTTATACAGTCATTTGTCGTTATCATTAAGATAGATATTTTGAATACAATTTATGGAATGTTAACGTACAGATATACATTTGGTATTTGTGTGAAGAAGCAGGGGCGATTTAGTAGATACATGAAAAAACGCGGTAAAAGAATAATAATTGTCTAGCTTGGTACGAAAAGTGTTAAAAGAAATAATCACACAAAAAATGGATTAAACGAATATAAAAGAATCAAAGGAAATGCCGAAATAAAAGATAATTTGTTTTGGCTTTATTAAATATATTTTCGGGACGTATAATAAAAAGATACATACAATATCACTGAGGAGTGACATTTCAACCACAACATGCACGGTTTGATATCAGAAAGTCACATGATACATATGTACACCATACAACACGTCAAGATTGATACTTCTACCTTTCTAGGGAAAGTGAATATAAGTACATAAATAAACTTACCCGTAGACCCTGAAGTGGAAAAACATAAATTCAAATAAATGGGAAAAGAAACTCTAATAATTAAGTGCGCATGCGCAGAAGCAAATTGACATTTTCAACGTTAATATTTAAGCAGATAAAAAGAATTCGTTTCCCTACAAAATATTTTGCACTAAAATGAATTAATTTGCGCTATGTTAAAGTTAAATAGATTTAAATCATCGCATTTTTTCATCTAACGCTTTCGGTTACAGATGACTTATTCATTTTAATTACACCCGAGATAGTTTAAAAGATGGGCCAGTATCAACGACTGCTGACTTTAAATGCGTCATATAATTGTTTAAGATCACTCCAAATTGCCGGTAACGGATGTTATAGGTGATAGCACATCATACAGACCGCTACACAGGTCTGTTGCTGGTAGCTGCTGGTGTTATCTATTGTACATATCTGACAAAACAGATTTACGAGATGATTCGAATTGTTGACAAATTGATTTAGCTCGATTTAATCGGTTGATTAGTTTGTTGGTTATATCTGTCCTCACACGAAGTTATTGTGTCGGATTACCTGGGAAAGTGGGTACCGAGGGGGTACCAGCGGGGTACCAAGGGGATGCTATTTCGGATACAATAAAACACACGTTAAGTTTCGAAAAGGGAACTGTCCTTCGAGGTGATTAAATGGTGGTATCAATGTCCGTCGAAAGATAACAATTCTTAAAGCCTAATCACATTTTTGATAATTTGTAATATACCAGCATAATAAAATATTCTAACTCTCCTGAAAAGTCCCTCGCATTACACGTCACTTCCATACACGCATTGCCATAGTTACACTTGATATCCTAAACTGGTGCCGTGGCAATTTATGACAGTTTTAATCGAAAAATACATTAATCTTTTTGTTATACCGGACTATCGATAGATTAAACATGATTACGTCGGATCCTGAAGCGGTGTCGTCTGCGCCTTTCAACATTGCTTCTAGGGTTATTGACAGGCAGGCGAGGTTTCTGACTCGGATGAGAGGACATGGAACACGTTCTTTTCTCATCTTTTCGAGTCAATGTCTAACAAACATAGCCTAACGAGAGCTACTCTAGAGCAGGTTACCTAAGTATTATAATTATTTACTAATACACCACTTACCAGATTGTAACTCACAGTCATTTAATAAATGTAACGGTTATCATGACTTGATTTTAGGTTTATTTCGTGATAATAACAAGAGGCCCAATGGGCCTGAATCGCTCACCTGGTATTAATCGCACACTTGTAATCTTTAAAGTGGACTAAAATACAGCTGCAGGCAGAATATCAGTGTTTGATTCATATAAGAACCTATTAAAAGATTTAAACATATGACCTTGAATGTCGAACAAGGACATTATATAGAACTGCGTTTATAGTCTTCCAACCGAGCATGCTTCTGGGAAAATATCAGTACCCTAGGCCTCTTGGTTATTCAGAAGAAGTTGTTTAAAGGTTTTAAACATATTTGACCCTGTGACCTTGAATATAAGTCAAGGTCATATATTAGAACAAACTTTGTTAGCCCTTCATCACAGCATGTTACTGGCCAAATATCATCACCCTAGGCCTCTTGGGTATTCAGAAGAATTTGTATAAATATTTTAAACATATTTGACTCCTGTGACCTTGAATATAAGTCAAGGTCATTTATTTGAACAAACTTGGTAGCCCTTCATCCCAGCATGTTACCCGCCAAATATCATCACCATAGGCCTCTCGGTTATTCAGAAGAAGTTGTTTAAAGGTTTTTAATATATTTGACCCCTGTGACCTTGAAAATAGATGAAGGTCATTTATTTGAACAAACTTGGTAGCCCTTCATTCCAGCATGCTTCTGGCCAAATATCATCACCCTAGGCGTTTTGGTTACTGAGAAGAAGTTGTTTAAAGTAAAAAGTTGACGCCGGACGGACGGACGACAGACGGACGACAGACGCCGCACAATGCCATAAGCTCATTTGGCCCTTCGTGCCAGGTGAGCTAAAAAACGTTATAACAACAATTAGTGACCTCTCTACCGAACCTTATGGCCAACGTAACGACATGAATGTCTCGATCTTTTGTGGATGCTCTAGGCTTGATTACAGTACTGACGTAAAGTTGATCTTATTTCAAAACGAAAGTAGATCGTGATAAAAATAAATCATATAATTTACAAAATACAATTTCAACGTTTATTTGAATGTGTTTCATGATTAACAGAATATTATAGCGGATTAATGATTTAATTTACAAAATACATTTCCTACTTATAGTATATTATGTTCTTACAGAATGAAAATTAATATAATTATTGAAAATAATAATGGATGAAGTTATATGTTGTTAATAGTTTTATGGCAGTGTCACAAAATTGAATTGTTTAGAGTTAACATCACAAAAACACACAGGAGACTGAAAGACAAAAGTCCAAACGAGAGGAAATAGTAGATTAACATAACAGATTACAAACCCCGTTTTTAGATTCTATGCTGCACAGCAAATAAAACCACACCACCGACATAAGTTGCCGGTGTACAAATATTCATTATCTAAATACGCCAACACTTAGTTCTATAGCGCGTGCGACTGTTCTGCTTTGAAATGGAATCTAAAACATTTAATTAATAAATTAGATAGTTCGCAGTTTTATGCGAAGAAAAACAGAAAAGATAAGCCGAGTACAGAATGATAAATGTACTTACCATTATACTCTGCTGCAAAGTTAACAATTACCAATTAGTTAAGATTTGTGCAGCAGTATACCATACATACCTGACATTGAATAAGTATACAAGAGACGACAAGTTAAATCAATTACGTTAATTGACAGGGGTACTCCTTTATAATTCAAACACGTCTTAGTCATGATATTAGTACTGGCGAAGTGTCTAAAACATTTAACGCAATAACTAGTTTATTGTTGAACATTAAATCATATGAAAATACTGCATTAACGTTTTTCTTCAATTTTAATTAAAAATTCCTTACGTTAAGATAGCTATGTAATAAAACTAAACATCTGACTTTGCTCCCATCAGACATATCCAGACTATTAGTCACGCTATATAAAACTCCATTCAACAAATCATGCCGATCATATTTTTTCCCCCGATAACATTGTTTGCCCTTACTTTGGTTAAAGATTAAATGTTAATTGAATTTGCGAAAGCTGTATCATCAGCTGAACTTATGTTCGCATGTCTCCCCTCTAAACACTCCGCCATAAAGAACAGGCTAAAAAGAATGAAAAGCATTTGCAGTCTTTCCTGATAACGATGAAATTAAAGTCTAACTAAGGGAGGTCAATAAACGTCATCAGTGTGATGACAATTTTTATGTTTCCCAGTGCCATGAATTAAATAAAAGAACACACTTTTCCAAAGTATCTTCCATCTAATGAATTCTTATTTTCCCCATAATGTCGACAGTTATAATCTATGATTCCTCAGTGTCGGCAATGCAACCTTTGTTTTCGTAAGTGTAAGCAAGTGTAATCATTGTCATGTCAATCTTACTTCCCAAATGTCGTCAATGTATAGACAATCTAATTATTCCCCAAATGTCGTCAATGTATTGACAATCTAAGTATTCCCCAAATGTCGTCAGTGTATAGACAATCTAAGTATTCCCCAAATGTCGTCAATGCATTGACAATCTAAGTATTCCCCAAATGTCGTTAATGTATAGACAATCTAAGTATACCCAAAATGTCGTCAATGTATAGACAATCTAAGTATTCCCCAAATGTCGTCAATGCATTGACAATCTTAGTATTCCCCAAATGTCGTTAATGTATAGACAATCTAAGTATTCCCAAAATGTCGTCAGTGTATAGACAATCTAAGTATTCCCAAAATGTCGTCAATGTATTGACAATCTAAGTATTCCCAAAATGTCGTCAATGTATTGACAATCTAAGTATTCCCAAAATGTCGTCAATGCATTGACAATCTAAGTATTCCCCAAATGTCGTCAGTGTATAGACAATCTAAGTATTCACCAAATGTCGTCAATGTATAGACAATCTAAGTATTCCCCAAATGTCGTCAATGTATTGACAATCTAAGTATTACCCAAATGTCAATGTATTGACAATCTAAGTATTCCCCGAATGTCGTCAATGTAGTGACACTCCTACTTTTCCCAAATATAGTTAATGTATAGACGATCTTACTTTTCCCAAATGTCGTTAGTGTATTGACGATCTTACTTTCCTCAAATGTCGTAATCTGACTTTTCCCAAATGTCGTTAGTGTATTGACGATCTTACTTTCCTCAAATGTCGTAATCTGACTTTTCCCAAATGTCGTCAATCTAAGGAGAATCTTAATTTCCTCAATAGTCGTCAATGTTGTGTTAATCTTAATGCGTTTCACTGACAGTTGTGAATATGATGACGATTTTAATTTTTCTCTAACACCATCAATGAAATTACAATATTACTATCTGCTGCTGTTGTGAATGAAAAGGTAAAGCAATCTCTGTATTCTTTAATATCGTCAACGTAATGACAGCTTTACGATTTCCTGGGGGTCGTTCATATACTACAATCTTGCTATCCCCTCGTGTCGTCAAAGTAATGACAATTTTGCTTTCCTATAGTGTAGTCAATGTTATGTCAATCTTGCTTTCCTAAAGTGTAATCAATGGTATGACGCTTTTTTGTACAATTACTCATACTTACTCCTTTTTTTAGTATCTGTATAGGTGTTAGTACATCTTCTTCTTCTTCGTCTAACATATAATCTGGAAAGAAACAAAGAAAAACAGTAACTATCGGAGTAACGCTAAAACTGAACTCAAAAACTGTTTCATTTCCCTTATATATATATATATAATTTGCCAAGTAGTATCTTCATATAAGTAATACTATTTCGTTTTCTTGTGATTTAGTGTTTACGCTGACATCACATGAATCCTTTCGAAAACATGTTTTTATTGGCGTCAAGGTCATAATGACATGCCAAAACACGTTACATGAACTTATAATCTATATTTATCCTTTTTGTGAGCACACAAGGAGAAAATATCCCACAGTGGCAATACACAAGGGCAAAATATACCATAGCATACATACAACAGGACAAAATATCCCACAGTGACAATACACAAGGACAAATACATCTCATCGCCTTGACAGAACATTTACATAACATTGAACGAACTGAGTGTTTCATAATCACAAGCACATCAAAACAGACATCATATCGGTAGTCAACAAATCACGAGGCCATTAAGATATATCTTGAAATCAGAAAGGGCATTCGAGATAGACAACACATTTACAAGGGTTCTTAGACAGACAACTCATCAAAAGACATTGATATATACTTGTTGTAGTATATTAATGAACACATTTCTCTCTCCCATTTACTCCGTTAGAGAAACGGTATATTACACTTAGAAATAACTGCTCTCAAAATAGTTGTTCCTGGGCATGTCAGGTCGGAATTCAACAGTTTGTCTATAAAAACGTCCTAGTTTAACCGAAAATTCACATGCATTAGATATCAACAGCCATAGGACAATTTAACAAATCAGACTACATCCCCTTATAGTAATTACATAAAGGGGTATCCGTGTACCTCTCCAGCCAGTTCTCGTCGTCATGTCACTAGGCCAAAGGGGGCTTCAATTATACCTAACAACGTTATCTTCGATTTATTAAGCATTACAACATCGTTACGTTGTCTATCCGCTATCATATTTTCCGCCCAATACCTTCATGTATTGTCTTCTCTTGAAACTGTTGTGGGGACCTTCTTTCAGTTTAGAACATCGCCTGGTATAGGACCTGACGTGGGTTTAGAAGCACTAGCGAGTAATCCTACCAATTATAACCGGGACTATGCCCGGCATCCCTACGCGGCTGCCGTTGTCGGCTTTCACTTTGCGCTAAGTACGAGGCCTTACAGTATAGCATTAAATAACCGACGCTCCTTCATGGATAAGACGGATGACAGTTTCAAAAATATTAAGGTGACGATACATGGACTTAACATTCAAAGTATACATAGTCACAATTGGCTGTCTCCTATAAATTGTCTGATCGAATAAATCAGGAAGCGTGTATAGTTTACATAGCAATATTTACAATAAATTATTGTCAAGCAGAACAACACTTACACTTCATAATTATCAAGCAGAGCAAAATTTCAAAGAACTAACTGTCAAGCAGAACATTTAACTTGAGCTATTTATAGCGGATCATTTATTTTTGTTTTTACTAGATACATTACACTAACCGAAGTTGATCTAAAAATACCACAACAGGAACCTACAAGACACTTAATAAACGAACGATATCATTACCAGTTATATCATACTATCACATTGATATCAGTAGCATACTTGTAGAATTATTCTAGGGAAAAGGAGCGAATCAAAAGGTTAAAGTTCAGGAGAAAGGGGAAGGAGAAATGGAGGCATTTCCAGCATCATACGTGTCAGCGGTCATTATAGATCACCAACCCGTCTTAAGTCGTGGTTGGCTTAACTTACCAGTAATCATTGTTTATAATATATTTAATTGATCGCGACATCTGTGTTAAGAAGAAATGGAATGAACCTTCGAAACTTTTCACTTGTAATGGACCATATTGTATGCCTGGTGTTGTGTTTAAATATCTAATGTCATGATTTTACGTATATTTTGACATTTAAGATCAGGCTCCTCATGTGTGAAGTTTTTACTCTTGTCCATCACATAACGCAACAGGATTAGTGTAATAGCCTTTACCTTGTGGACGCTGACAACAGGTAATTGATCTTACACTTAGTGACACCTGTCACTCAAAGCTCAGGTACCTGAATTGTACGTACATGTATTTAACTGTGATATGATGTATTGAAAATCAGTTAGGTTCTAGACTTTGTGCGGAACAAATCGGGAATATTTTGGACAATCCAGTTAAACTTTTATTAACACTAACGTCATAATTTCGTCTATACAAAACGTGCGGAAAAACCGTATGTTGTATTTATGGTCTTGTAAACAGATTGTGTGTTCCTCCTATTTGCTACGTGAGAGTCACTTTGATGTTTATTCAGTTCCTGTTGTTGTCTTTTTGCTGTGATTTCAGTGAAGACATTTTTCTTGTTCTGTGACGTTGTGCTTTATATTTTATTTTACTTTACCTTTTCCGATTGTATAAATCATAATGCCATGCTGTCATTTCAGTTTCTCAATGAATAATTGACTTGTCCCGTTAAATATCATTCAAAAAAAAAGGCAGACGTTTTGACCTTGTATAACGAGCCAATCGAGAACTATTGGTATCCACATCATTTATAAAACTACATCTGACTATGGCATTTAGAAGTCAAATTTGATTCATTACAGCAGATCATTGTATCGGTATCGAAGATTTTACATGAAAGGCTTCAATCTAACTCATTCCATTAGTTAACGTGACCAATCCTTTGTTTATTATATACAATAGTATCGTTCCAGTATGTTATGTCCTTGTGATGACGATGTGGTAAATGTTGTCTTTGCAGGGCTAGCCATTCACATTCCGATCCATAAGGCTAGCCATTCACATTCAAATCCGGGATCATTAATGATCTGAACGTAAGGCTAACCATTCATATTCCAATATGGGATCATTAGTGATCTGAACGTAAGGCTTGCCATTCATATTGCAATCTGGAATCATTTATGATCTGAACGTAAGGCTTGCCATTCATATTCCAATCTGGAATCATTAGTGATCTGAACGTAAGGCTTGCCATTCACATTCCAATCTGGAATCATTAGTGATCTGAACGTAAGGCTAACCAATCCTTGATTGCATCATGAGCGACCCCAAAGCAAAGGTAACCATTCACATTCCTAGCTTATATTGTGAGGGACCCCAAAGCAACGCTAACCATTCACATTCCTAGCTGGTATTGTGAGCGACCCCAAAGCAACGCTAACCATTCACATTCCTAGCTTGTATTGTGAGCGACCCCAAAGAAACGGTAACCATTCACATTCCTAGCTTGTATTGTGAGCTACCCCAAAGAAACGGTAACCATTCACATTTCTAGCTTGTATTGTGAGATACCCCAAAGAAACGGTAACCATTCACATTCCTAGCTTGTATTGTGAGCGACCCCAAAGCAACGCTAACCATTCACATTCCTAGATTGTATTGTGAGCGACCCCAAAGAAACGGTAACCATTCACATTCATAGCTTGTATTGTGAGCGACCCCAAGGCAACGCTAACCATTCACATTTCTAGCTTCTGCCGCCTCGAAGCAACGTTTGTATCTGTAGCGGCTTCAAAGCAACGCTTACCATACTAGTTCCTAGCTTAAACATAAGCGGCTTAAAAGCAAGGTTAAACATTCACGTTCATGATATTTATCTTGAGCGGCTACAAAGTAAGTCTAACCATTAATATTCTTAGCTTGTATATAGATCGGCTGCAAGACTACATTAACATTCCTAGCTTATACACTGAACTTTCCAAAGCAAGGCTGACCATTCACATTCTTAGGTTGTACCTTGAGCTCCCCAAAAGCAATGCTAACCATTCACATTCCCACCATCGTGAAATTATATTCATGAGGCAATCGACACATTGTCATGAATCTTAAAAATCTGCTATTTATGTCAAATTGTTTACGCTTACTCTCACTGCCAAATGCAATACATAGACAATACGGGTTGTGAGATAAAACACTATTTGGTCATATCCTACTAAGGTGACGTCAACGGTCTGATTTCTTTGTTGTTTTAAAAAAGTAAAAACATGATGATTGGGTCATAAAATAACTCAAACAAATCAAATTAACTCTATTAAAACATATAAAAAAGGAATTAATCTTAAAGCAAATGAACTCTATTAAAACATATAAAAAAGGAATTAATCTTAAAGCAAATGAACTCTATTAAAACATATAAAAAAGTAATTAATCTTAAAGCAAATGAACTCTATTAAAACATATAAAAAAGTAATTAATCTTAAAGCAAATGAACTCTATTAAAACATATAAAAAAGTAATTAATCTTAAAGCAAATGAACTCTATTAAAACATATAAAAAAGTAATTAATCTTAAAGCAAATGAACTCTATTAAAACATATAAAAAAGTAATTAATCTTAAAGCAAATGAACTCTATTAAAACATATAAAAAAGTAATCAATCTTAAAGCAAATTACCTCTATTAAAACATATAAAAAGGTAATTAATCTTAAAGCAAATGAACTCTATTAAAACATATAAAAAAGTAATTAATCTTAAAGCAAATGAACTCTATCAAAACATATAAAAAAGTAATTAATCTTAAAGCAAAGCTGACAAAATAACATATAACCGTATGTAAATAAATTTAATTATTTCACAACCAATTACAGTGCTTGTCTCGTGGTCACATCATCAGTGCAATAACATTCCTTACTTTATAAGATGTCGTGAGACATTATCAACCAATTTACAAGAGTCTTACAGATCTGTTTGATAAATTTGTATATCAAGTTATGTCAATTCTGTTTTCAACTACTTACAACGACTCTTACGGATTTGCTCAATACATGATATTGAATGGCTTGTATAGGCATAGCCTGTTGCCCAATTCCCATTGAATCATTTCATTTAATAAAATATTTTGAAATGAAAAAATTATATTGAATGTTAAAATAGAATTGAATAGTATTATCTCAGGTTGTGCATCTTAAATATCAAAGACATTGATAGCATTGATGCCTCCTAAATAAATTTAACACCCATCAGGTGAAATAAAACGTTTACTTTATTTTGCCTTTTTTTTTGCATGGACAAATTCATTTTAAAATACTTTAAAAAGTGGATATTTGCGCGGTGTGAAATTGTTCGCTTTTTCCGTTGAGTTTACTATTGCGAAAATATTCACACGCGAATAGTCATTGATACAAAGCCAGTTGCCAACGCGAAAGTTTCAACACCGCGAATCAGTTTAAAGAGTCACAATGTTAATAGTTCAACTCGCAAAAAATACCACTTTTACAGAATGTGCTTCCTGACTTCGTATTTCTAGCGTTTAACCAAAATTAAAGACTAAATGAAACAGATTAAATTATCCGTAGAACGTTCTGAAGAGTAGTTTAATGAGAAGGTAATAGGGACAGCCCTTACCTATCGACCCCTTTGACTCTCGGTTTTATAATAATATACCTCATTTGATATAGCGCTCTATCTAGCTAACATAAGCCACTCTAAAGCGCTTTACAGTACATATATATACATTGAATACAATTATCATATACATTAATCAATACATTTTTTGTTGAATTCGCAGGAGCTGCCTTATCTGACACCTACAACTAGTCATATGCCACCTGGCTAATATCTCCCTATGTGTGTATGTCTGCGTGTGTGCTGGAGATGTAATGTGTTCTGTTTGTAGCGGGACCGTGCTTCCAACGGCTTCATTTATAGTGCCACCTCACTTGAATGCTAAAGCACAGATACCGCAACATCCACCACAGACCAGTTTATACTCCACCTGGGTTGTTGGAGTTGTGTGAGCAGGAGAAAAAACACTTTCTCTGAACCCAAGCCGCCTGCGTGAAAGGCCGGAGTGTTAACTGCCACTACTTACAGACCCTTCTGAGCAAGTGCTAGGGATAGCCCCACCTCTCTGGTTTTTATAGGTTTTAGGGGCAGTCCCTATATATATATCTAACTCCTGATCACTCTGACAGTCCAACCTAACGAGCCATTTTAAAACAATGATTGCTATTAAAAAGAGCCAGTTATTAGATATATACGTGTATAGATAGTCTTTCTATATAAAATATAGCGGAAGTTACGATATTCGACACAATCATTATTAAAACATGATTCAATACGTGAATAATCAATCATAATAATGGTAAACATGGAATTAATCACTGAGACCAAATACGCAGTAGGGAAATTGATTTGAAGAAAAGGTGAGGTGAGTGTCTAGATGCTGTATGAATAATTAGATATCTAAAGAGTTATTATATATATATATATATACACCGATCCGAAACACGTAGGTCTTGATACTTACGTAAGTGCTAAAATAAGAAGTTAGTGCCGTCTTAAAATAGTATTGACAATATGAGTTTGCAAATATAATTACCCTACGGCTAGAAGTTGTCTGTAAATACAGGTGATAACATGATTTATGAAACTTGGTACAGAAGAAGTTTTGTTTACAGCTGCTCCGTACGTAAATTTCTCCCATAACTCTGATGGCGTCTGACAGCTTAGTTCAGTTTAGAATTATCTGTACATTTACAAGTAAGTACACAAAATTTAGATTGGCTAGACTTAATGCCAATGTATATTGTATACTTTAGAAAACGTTTAGCATTTTCCATTCACAAATTACTTGATAAAGTCGCGTTTCACTCTGTATTTTTTAAATGTAAATATTTGTTAGTTTTAGGTCAGGGATGTTTGTTCTGGGACCTAGCTGTAATTTCAAAAATTAATTTTTCAAATCGTTTTTTTCCCTTTCTTTCAAGCCTTTATTTAACTCTGTGTACCCCAAGATCACACATATGCCACAGATCACTAGATAGGTGCAGAACGTAGAGTTGTCTGGCTTTCGTAGTTTCGTTTTCGTAGTTTCATTTTACAAAATCAGCTCACCAGACAGACAATTATCTATATAAGCTCACAGATATTTCACGGATTTGATTGATTCTATGACATGGTCACTTGCTTCTTTTCCATTTAAAAAAAAAAAAAAAAAAAAAAAAAAAAAAAAAAAAAAAANCCTACTTCCTCTTATATTTAAATGTAACGAATGCTCGCTATAAACACGTACAGAGTCTAAGCAGGATCACGAACGTCAGGGTCTCTGCGTGCGAAGGGAATGATGATGTTGCAGCATATACTAATTGAAATGATAACTCACATAAATTAACGGTGCTGACTACCATGAACATAACATAATAAAAAGTGATTTACTCTTTTTGAGAGTTTTGACTCTCTGGATCCAATTGCTCTCAACCAGTTATCAAGAAGGTATCTACTAATGTTCACTATGACGTAATCAATCAATTATCAGGAACCCATTTTAGCTATGACGTAATCAACCAACTATCAGGAAGGTATCCAATAATGATCGATATGACGTAATCAACCAATTATCAGGAAGGTATCCACTAAAGATCGCTATGACGTAATCAACCAATTATCAGGAAGGTATCCACTAATGTTCGCTATGACGTAATCAACCAATTATCAGGAAGGTATCCACTATTGATCGCTATGACGTAATCAACCAATTATCAGGAAGGTATCCACTATTGATCGCTATGACGTAATCAACCAATTATCAGGAAGGTATCCACTAAAGATCGCTATGACGTAATCAACCAGTTATCAGGAAGGTATCATCTTATGTTCGCTATGACGTAATCAGCCAATTATCAGGAAGGTATTCATTAACGTTTGCTATGACGTAATCAACCAATTATCAGGAAGGTATCCACTTATGTTAGCTTATCTTTAGAACATTAAGAACGACTAAATAGTTGCACTTTTCTTTCCTTTTTATTGTGAAATATACGTAGATTAATATGACTAAATAGTTACTGTTACATGTAGAAACATATTTACACTAGTATGTACTTGATTTACTCGACTAAAATTACTCTTTCCATTAGAACCAGTAAGTTCGGCAATCACTGCCCATGACCGGACCATACGAAAATCACAGTAGTGTTATATATAAACAAGCCATTCGGATTAATATGCCTCGCCTATGCCCCGCTTTGACCATCAATGCACATATCAGAGAAACTAACTTAAACGCAAAAACTTAATGTTGATGGAGATGCTGACAAAGTCAAAGGACCATGAAAGGTAGGCCGCATCCATCATTTGAAACATGGATTAAGATGTGCTACCTCAGATGCATCTATGGTCCAAGTTTGGTTGGTCTAGCACTTATACTTTCAGAGTAACTAACTTAAACGCAAAAAGATAATGTTGACGCCGTCGCTGGAAAAGAAAAACACCCACTTCGTGGCAGCGTGACAAAAAATGTCTCTGTGAAACGTCTTTAGTATAGGTTTGAAGATAGAGAGGTAATTGAAAGCAAATGTATTCTCCTATTAACGATGATTAAATAATCAGAAAAACTGAACAGCAAAAACCCTATTGTCTACTGCAAATCGCACACAATCAATACAAAACGAATTTCGATACACAATGTTATCACAACCACCTCTTGTTACTTTACGCCAGTATAAAACATTTTTTCATACGAGAGGTTATCACAACCAACTGTTGTTACTTCACGTCAATATAAAACGAATATAATACAGTACTAATAACAACCAACTGTTGTTACTTTACGTCAGTATAACACGAGTATAATACAGTACTAATTACAACCAACTGTTGTAACTTTACGTCAATATAAAACGAGTTTAATACAGTACTAATAACAACCAACTGTTGTTACTTTACGTCAATATAAAACGAGTTTAATATAGTACTAATAACAACCAATTGTTGTTACTTTACGTCAGTATAAAACGAGTTTAATACAGTACTAATAACAACTAACTGTTGTTACTTTACGTCAGTATAAAACGAATTTAATACAGTACTAATAACAACCAACTGTTGTTACTTTACGTCAATATAAAAAGAGTTTAATACAGTACTAATAACAACCAACTGTTGTTACTATACGTCAATATAAAACGAATTTAATACAGTACTAATAACAACTAACTGTTGTTACTTTAATTCAGTATAAAACCAGTTAAATACAGTATTAATGACATTCAACTGTCAATAAAAAACGACTTTTTAACAAAACCGTGTTTCTTCAAGTCATATTTGTAAAATAACGAAATTCCTTTAGGGAATGAAGAGACGTTGAAAAGGGGCCCTATTTAACAGAAAAAGAAGAGGTAGCACATACAACCTCATGTGAAAATCAATTCCTACGTTACAGCATAAAAATTCATAATACAGTATACAGATGTAGTTGATAAGATATGATATTTGAAAGATTTCACATTAATACAGCTGTGTTTAGGTAAAAGTGTATTCGTACAAGTTATATTACAGATGTCAAACTTGTGTCGTGTTCCATATACAATTCAAAGCAAGGACTGTTGTCCTTTTTATTTACGCAGAAACAGCCCAAACATTTATTCGGCGAAGGTCATAAAACTAACAACAGGAAGACTTACATCAATGAAAAGCGATAAAGATACACAGGTTTGCTTTTAAATATAACTGTTAATAGAAATGTCTTACCGTTTGTTCCTTGGCATGTGATGAAGGCAGGTAGGGCGACGAGGAAACCCAGCACCAAAAGATAGGCCTGTGTGTACGTCATGGTATAGTTAGTTTAACGGAGACTGTCGACACCTGGACCTTAGGGCACGTTTATCCAAATTCAGGAGTTATTACCAACTTCACGGAAATTTCCTTTTATCACAAAACTTGTTACACTTGGTTGGTAGCAGCAGCACCAGTGGGCGTTACAGACAGACTCTTCGCACGGTTCCTTAGACAACAACACCGATATTAAAATAAAAGATGAATGTGTCGTGTTTATATTTTGCAAATTAAGTTATTTTGATAACGTTGTTTCCTTTTCAAACAGTAAATAATTGATTAATTTTGTCAGTTTCCATTGCGAAAATAATACAAAACTCCGAAAATATCGTCACATCAAAAGCAAACATCAACAAGACAAATGCCCGTCCCGCAAATGCCAACTATTATAGTGTTCCGTTTCCTGGCGAGATGTCGTAGACCGATAGGGACAAAATCTGGTTGGACAACTTCTTTAACCGCGCGCGCGGTAACGCCCTCTGTCGTTAGACGTTGTTACTAAACGGAAAAAGAAATGATGTGAAATCTATCACAGCTTGCATTCAATACCGATCAATCGCGTGACGTTTCCAAACTGGTTTAGAACGCCTCCCGGATCAATATTACGCTACTATCCGCTGCCACTCGCCATCACGTGACTGGTGGGGACAACACCAAATACAAAGCTCTAACAAAGGACGGGTATTTTGTTTTTTGTATTACCTATTTATCAATTGCTTGTACCAGGAGGAAATGTGTAGATATGGATCTTGGAATACTCTGATTGAATAATTTACCTTTCTTTATAACAAATTGAATATATAACAGTATAGACGGGATTTAATTAAAAATACTGTATCAAAGTACCAGTCTGTACAACATTAAGGAACATGTACAATATATCCTTTTTTTATTTTTATTTTTTTTCAAAATGGGTACATACTTTTTGTGTAAAGCAAATACTTTTCAATGTCAGAGGGGATACAGGAATTTATTTTGGGTGTTGCCCTAACTAAAGTGAAACCTGACCTAGCCACAATTTTTCGCGTTTAGGAGTTGACATGAAGGTTTATCCTATTTTCTGTCGTATTATATAGATCGAAATAACCTTTCCTTTCTTTTCCTTTCAAAAGTCTGTGCCACATCAAAAATGTTTGAATGGAGATACTTATTTTGGACTGACTGCAGAAGGATTTATATAATATATACGGTATATTCCACTTCGAATGAAAATGAATTCAGAACATACATGTACAGTAGACACTCTGGTCTATATAGACTGCTGTATCAATCCAGGGCTCCAAGTAAACGGTGTGCTCTAGATTAAAGTGTAGGGTGATCCTTATTCCGTCTTTGCGTATTGCAGAGTTATCTTCTCTTGGGAGCAGGTATTGATTGTTACGTCACTTATTTGTGAGAGTAACGTCATCAATTTTTGAGAAAACGACGCAATTTTCTCACACAAACCAATGACGTAACAATCAATACCTGCTCCCAAGAGAAGATAACTCTGCAATACGCAAAGACGGAATAGTTGAGGAGGGGGTACTATATCTTTAATGACATTCATCATCTGTGTATATTTATATCGACAGGAACATGCCAAGTTGACTTTGAAACTATTTCAGAATACATTGTCTTATAGGGCAAATCTTTTTATCTATTTTTTTTATTCTAATGGTTCAATATTATGTCAAATGTTACAATGCATTTCTACTCATTACAGTGGCTATTAATTTGTTGCGAATATGGTAAAACTCCCTGAACTGAGAGCAAGTACATATTCATGAGTGGCTTAGGACTTTGCCTGGGTAGTAAATTAATCTTAGACACAAGTAATGAATACACTATTGTTTTGGGGAGTGAAATCGGAAAGCTATATAAAAACTTGGCTCAACAATTTTAGGAGAAATTCACATATAAAATGGAGGAAAATCTTCCAAAATCATGGCTCAGATTTATTTTAAACAAAGATAAAAGGTGTTTCCCGGGCAACCATGCCAACTAAAGCAACACCCTTGCATCCGCCCCTTAATGTGAACAAATTCATCTTCTGTTTCAAGTCATGTGAGAAATCCTGATCCCGAGGTGTTTTAAATAACATCCCAGAAACGTTGATGGTTTATCACACAATCTGTCAAACACTAGGAAAATTCCACACACATTGTAGTTAAACGTGCCTAACAGAGCACAACATTGTAACCATATGCAGTTCAAAAAGAGGACGGCATTTTCTCCATCAACTCTCAGGTACACTCTCGCTTTTGCTAGAGAAAATATAAATCAGTGTTTACTTTCTTGTGGGATGACAGCTCACACGCGCCATTATTCTTAAAATATCAACATAACGTCATCAGTTAATGCAGTGTAACCAGAATAGCGTCATCAATTTTGTCACACTTATGTGTCAATGATAAACAGCGCGGTGCAAACAGTCCACCATTACAACTTATTTTACGGTAGGAAAATGTAAGAGAAAAGTAATCAATAATTCCTGTGTGATATAGACGAAAAGTCTCAACCCTCGGGATAACATATTTGAAGTGCTTAACTTAATTTTTTTTATCCCGAGGGTTGTCATGTCACTTTCTACACCACACAGGAGTGTGACGCTCTTATCAAAAGTATGAAATTATTCAACGCACTCATGAAACAAAACCGTTATTAATGAAGACACAAAACAATGTGTTTGACTTATTCGTGGGTAAAAATGGATGCAAACTTAAACAATCATAAATACATTATTCATTTAAACAAGAGGCCCAAAGGGCCTTAGCGGTCACCTGAGTTATATTGTAGGTACTAGTAGCTCAATTTTATTGTTGAGATGTACAAAATGTGGAAAACAACATGTCAACAAAGTGAAATACAATACTGTCAGTGTACAAAGGATAGGAACTTAAAAAACTATTCAAATACATTTTTTTGCTATTGAGAATTATATCCTCTCCCCAAGGGAGACAGATGACCTGGGGGATAATGAAATATACAATTAAGGTAATTAAGGTAACTGGGTCAGATGAAGATTTTTTTAACTTTTAAACATAATCCCAATTTGGGCCCCACCCCTCCAGCCCCTGGGGATGGGGCAGGATATTATTTTCACATACCATCTAATTGCCATCTGGCATAATAATCACTCCAACCAAGTTTGATTATTTTCCTGCTGAAAATGGACAAAAAATCCCTAAAAGTGTTATTTCCCTATATAAACTATAGTAAATATTACCCCCTCCCCAAAGGAGAACGGATGGCCCGGGAATACTGAAATTTACAATTTAAACAAAGCCCCTGATGATCTTTCGATATAGGCAGAGAAATTGACTGTAGTACCTCTGAATCTGGAGTCGAAGATTTTTGAAATATTGGTTAATTTTCCCTTTGGGGCCCCGTCATGGCCCCTGGGGTACGGGCAGGAATCCCAATTTTACATTTTGATACAGTCTACATCCAAGGATGATTCTCAACAAGTAAGAACAATTTCCTACTGAAAATGAACAAAATATACTCAAAAGTGTTATTTCCCTAAATAAACTATAGTAAATTTTACCTCCTTCCCAAAGGAGAACGGATGGCCCGAGAATATTGAAATTTACAATTTAAATAAAGCCCCTGATGAGCTTTCCATCCATGCAGAATAATTGACTGTAGTACCTCTAAGTCTGAAGGAGAAGATTTTTGAAATATTGGTTAATTTTTCCTTTGGGGCCCCGCCCTGGCCCCTGTGGTTTGGGTAGGTATCCCAATTGTTCCATCCACTGGTTCTTGAGAAGAAGTCGAAAATGTAAAAGTTTACGCACGACGGACGACGACGGACAAAAAGCGACCAGAATAGGTCACTTGAGCACAGCTCATGTGACCTAAAAAACCCTTTTATAAACCTCTTTTCAATTATGTTTTTTATAAGTTTGAAAATGTATGCTATTTTTGGCATTTTTTAAGCGTTTTTGTTTCATCTATTGCACTACATTTTCATATCTTTTTACAATCTTAAATACGTTTTTTTATAATTAATAATATTTGTTAAAATTGTTAAAATGTTTCTATTTTATATATTATCAATTTCATAAATAAAACACACATATACTCTGAAGATATCCAAAATGTTATATCTTCCCATGTGATGACATATTGTCCTTTGTCGAGTTAATATTGACCATTCAGAATGGGTATTTTCTGTGCACTTCATTCTCAGTTGTGATTTTCTATTCAATTGTCATCACAAGGAGACAAACACGAACATATCGCAGCCTCCCAAAACACACACGCATACACTACACGCATGCACCTTGCACACAGGGGAGGCCGTTCTTAAATTATCATAGCTGTTGATAGGACGTTAAACAATACTAAAACAAACCAAATTGCAGTTGCAATAGGTAGTTGTTTGTATACATCTTTACAACTACTATATAATTGGTTGTTTTTTTTGTGAGTAAAATGTACCAGTTAATATAAGAGAAAACGGCAAAATTACATTAAGGTTTCACAAAAGACAAACCATATTTACGAACATACGGTTGTGATCATATTTTGAGTATAAACTGTGAATGGCACGACAAACACCGATACAAAATATATACTGAGGACGAAATAATTAGAGTGATTGAATTTTTAATTGATAATATGTAAGTTATGTTTGAAGACAATATTTTCCAGCAGACAGTTGGCATCACTATGACAACAAACATTCTTTTCCAAACTGACTTGTATTTTGTTTCATAAGAAGCAGAATTTATCGAAAGGATGAATAGATAACAATGTCAATCAATTTTACTTTAACCTAAAAATTCCTAAAAATTAGTCAGTCGTAATATTATGCCAATCTATTTGTTATGCCAAATAGTATGATAAACCATTTGTTATGCCAATCTATTTGTTATGACAATCTGTTTGTTATGCCAATCTATATGTTATGCCAATCTATTTGTTATGATAAACCATTTGTTATGACAATCTGTTTGTTATGACAAACTGTTTGTTATGACAAACTATTTGTTATTGCAAACTATTTGTTATGCCAATCTATTTGTTATGACAATCTGTTTGTTATGACAAACTATATGTTATGACAATCTATTTGTTATGATAAACCATTTGTTATGACAATCTGTTTGTTATGCCAATCTATATGTTATGCCAATCTATTTGTTATGATAAACCATTTGTTATGACAATCTGTTTGTTATGACAAACTGTTTGTTATGACAAACTATTTGTTATTGCAAATTTTTTGTTATGCCAATCTATTTGTTATGCCAATCTATTTGTTATGACAATCTGTTTGTTATGCCAATCTATTTGTTATGACAATCTATTTGTTAAGATAAACCATTTGTTATGACAATCTATTTGTTATGACAATCTGTTTGTTATTGCAAATTTTTTGTTATGCCAATCTATTTGTTATGACAATCTGTTTGTTATGCCAA